ACTCTTGAGAGCACATTTAAAATCTTTCTCTTTCCCAGGAGATTCCATTGCAGAGTTCAAGAGCCGCTCAGCTTATAAAACTGCAATTAATAGCAGCAAGCTGGAAGCAAGCTACCTTTGATAGACTCTGTGCCCACTGGAAGGGAGTCTTTAAATCTGCTCTTTTACAACTTAAAGGAAGGGTTGCATTGATTAATTCACTTGATCATGGGCCTGGAGCTGACAAGGCATCTTCCCAGGACTTTAGCCCTCTGGGAGTGATGTCATCACTTTTCAGGCATATTTTTCCTGTTCTTGTAAGTGGAAAGGAGTCACCTAAGGTCACACAACTTGTATTTTCAACATTTTATCTGATCTCAACACCCCATATCTGTGTCACTAATAATATTTAGCTGAAATCACAACTTTAGCTGAGGTAAGAAAGATCGTGCCCAAGCTCATGTACATTTAGACAGAATAAACTCCTACAAATCTTAGCATTCCCCAACCCCAACATGGCTGGCTGCAACTTGCTATGACTTGCGGGACTTTTGATGGCTAAATATAGATAGGACTGCACCTCAGACTGGCTTGGAATGGGAAAATATCTTGCCTCAATTATCCAGATGATCGGTGGAGGAAGGGGACCCTGAAAAAAGGTTCCTGCTGTAAGAACAACTCACAAGCACGTGGGGTAGGCATTCTGTGGCTTTTCATTCACTTTGGTCTACAACTCCCATCATTGATCACTGCTGGCCATGTGGAAAGGGACTTATGGGAACTATAGGCCATCCTCAGGTTTCCCTGGTTTTGTAGCTGAGGACAGATCTATCTTGTAGCGATGGCATGGTTTTAGATGGCTTCCCTGCTTCAGACAGATGCTGTTTTTGGAGAGCAAGTGCTCTAAAGTGGGAGCAAACTGAATCTTTTTTTTTTTTTTTTTTTTGAGATTAATATTGCCTTGTTACCTAAAGTGAACTTACTGGGTTATTCTGTGCTAAGGCTTTATACAGACAAACTTTTTCCCCTCTTTTGTCAGAAACTTGAAGGTTGCACTGTTGAGCTACCATTGCCTTTGAGCAGACTGATTCTTTTTTCTGTATTTCTGTATACAAATCCCATAAAAGCTATGAACCAGGGACAAAAGTGTGCCTGTACATAATCATAGGTGGCATTACAATCTACATTTGGACAAATTTTCACTCCTAAAAATTCCTTGCAACATATGCAGGTCCCTTCAATTCAGGTTATAAGGGAGAAATGCCCGATTTTGGTCAATGCACTTCTATTGTCCATGTTTTCCTAAGAATAGATTGGCATAAAATTATGAAAGTTTTTTTTAAAGCCAGTCTGTGTATCCACAGAATTTGTGTGGCATGGGAAAAGCCAGCCCACTGCAGAAAGTATGAGTCTTAGAAATCCAAATTCATTTAATTCCTCTATGGATGTCTTCAACACTCCTAGCTGCCAGTGAGTGACTGGCCCAACTCAAAGAGTTACTACAAGTGTAGTCTCAACCACCCAGGACCCTGATATATGAAAAAGCTCCTTCCCCAACACTGACCAATTCAGGATCTAAGATCATCTGGGGAGAGTTTGGGGAATGTGGCCTGTGGGACTTCCACACATGGGAGAACCTTTCTGGGCAAGGCATCTCAACTCCCTGTCGGTGCAGGTGTGGCTGTCCTCCACGTCATGCTCACGTCAGTGCTGGTTAGGGGAGCATTGATCCATGCAGACCTTTTGGATACAGGCACATGCTTCAACTACTTATAGGTATTGCAACGATGGTTTTAAATAAAGCATCCCGACACACACACATGGCAACCTTCTTCACAAGAAAGAGTACACATGGGTCCCAGCTGAACATTTCTTCCCTGTTTCCAACTTTCCTGTCATGCACCGCACTATAATATCGCATGCATATTCTTTTTTAGACGGAAGAACATCCAATCCTTCTAATTTCCCTCGGAACGTGGCATTCTAGCAACAGACATTTGTGTCCCTCTCTCTCAGCTGGAAATCAATGGGACTTCAAAGTGCTTAACCTTGGCTGGATCATGTCCTACTTATGTGGCTCCCACCCTGCTCTTCTTCCAGGGCTTGACAGTATTGGAATCAAATATCAAATGACCTCCTCAAAAAGTGTATGGATAAATATCCCCAGTGTTCAGATCAGCATTTCCTCCACAAATTAAGCAGGTTATGACCTTTATAGCCGATAAACACTTAATGGATACATTATAAAGATCACAGCCTCTTTCTAGCGTACACAACAACTGCGCTAGCAGTACATAACGTATTATTTTGTAAAATGTTTTGGAAGATCTGCCTACTCAAGCCACTATATACCCCATCTCTTTTCAGCATATTTCTTTCACTGTGTGGTTCATGGTTGTTTCTTTTAGAAGGCACAAATAATCAATACAAAACCATGAATAAAAATAACTTTCCTTTAAAATTGGATGCCAAAGGAACATGTCGCTTTTTTTTTTTTTTTTCTTAGCAGACGGGATCAGGTTCTACTACGCAACTTGCTCTTTGCTGAGAGACCTGAAAACTAATAGTTTTAAGTGATGTGGAATAAAAACAAGTAGAGATAAAAACCATCAATAAAACATGGGGGAGGGGTGTCCTGTTCATCTTCTTATCACACACTTCCTAACTCAGCTGATCCTGTGGATCTTCCACTCCTTTCGTTGCTCACATTTATGACTGGTTCAAAGTGATGCTGTTGTGTTTGCTGTCCTTATAGGTTGGGGCAAGGTTCCCTGGCAGACCACCTCCCCAGGTACAGACCTGTGCACTCAGTAAGCTCATGAGAGGAGGCCCTGCTGTTTGTATTACAACCTGCAGGACGTATATCAACACTGTCCGGAAGCAGAGCTTTTCCATAGTGATGCTCGCCTTGTGCAATGACTTCTGCCCCAGTGTTTAGGAGATGCCAGCAATGAGCTGTTCTACACAGGGTATTACTTCACTGTGTCTACTTTCATTTTCTTCACAGAAATGATATTTGAACTATAAAGAACTTTTCCTGCATTTCTACTGCACAACCTCCAGGTGGCACTGTGCACCTTGCAGAATAATGCAATTGCACAATTAGGAAAATACATTTGCTTTTGCTTTTGCAGACAGCATTCCATTTTTTCCCTTCTACAAACAACCCATGTATGTGTTTTTAAATAAGAGAAGCAAAACTGGAGGGCACCACAATAAACAATAATAATAAAGACAACTTTGCTTTCCCTGTTCAGTTCATCTTTCCAGTGAGGACAAAGCTAAATCATTTTCAATTTATCCAATTAACCACTTGAAAGAAAGAAAGAAAGAAAGAAAGAAAGAAAGAAAGAAAGAAAGAAAGAAAGAAAGAAAGGGTACACTTTCCATTCTAATTCTTGCCAGTTCTTTTTATGTTTTAAAAAAGCTTAGGAAATATGAATTTCTTTTCCCATTCCTTTTACTGTTGAGGAAGCAAACAGTGAGAATGAAAAAAATATAAGGTATTTATATAAGAATATAAGGTATTAACAGAATGTGTTATCACCTGTTCCTCATTCAGGTTTCAAATATAAACCTGCTCCCCATATCTCTGCAAAGTAATTGTATTACTTTAAATGCAAATATGTTCAAATTGTAACATGAATAGGTACAGTTAATTTAGAACAAATGTATTTCTAAACATTGCTGTTCAGAGTTCCTGTCACACACATACAAAAAGGGAAAGACGCATGTGTGCTGCTTCTAATGACAAACTCAGATACTGACTGTTCACAGAAATTAAGCCAAAGAAGAATTAGGATGGTTTGAGGAGTTCTAAAGTTGGCAGAGTGCAACAACATCCTAATGAAACCCTTCAGCTTAACCCTTTCAGCAGCCATTGACTGTTGCGTGGCTATTGGAAAAAAAGCAGAAAACAGGGTGGTGGGGGTACAAGAAACTGCTGAGGGAGGGCATGGTTCCAGTGCTGGCTCCCAGCTTTTCGGAGCTCTTGGCCAACGGACCCTCGATGTATCCTCTCTCTCAGTGGATCTGCTTTCCTACCAGTACTGCCAGAAGCTGCTATTGCCCTTCCCTATGGGCTGAAGTGAGCATCGGGTCAACAGTGCTGAAGAGGAAGAGGGACTGCAGGAGACTTTTGCAAAGGGACTCCTGCTAGGCTGCTGGACATCATGCCTAGCCCATTCCTGAATGGCTGGCTGGAACCCTGGCTAGGAGCACTCAGCTTTGTAGGGAAGAGCTGATCCCATTGTTGAATCATCGAACACTTCAGTTAGTGCACAGATAACAGAGGTGCAGATGTGTGAAGTCCATTATAACAAAAATGACAAGGAATCGTGATTCTTTGGCCAAACAAAAGTAGTTTTCACTATACGTATCCATACACATGATGCTGCCACACTGGGCTATGCCGGATTGCTTGGAAAAAAATCTTGGGCTCTCCATCTCTCACCCAGTAATCACATGTATTCATCTTTAAGTAGCCACAGGATTCCATTCTTTTCATGAACATGCATTGGTTATGTGAGATGCAAGGCATATCAGAATATCACATGTTTTTGCAATTCAAGACATGGCCTTATTTTTGTGCCTTCTAATAGTGCTGTAATGTATTTTCAAATTAATATGTGGCATGGCAAATACAGTGCAGAATTGCAAACATTTTTCCTAAAGAATTATTACTTTCAACTCATAAACTTTATCTAGCACACTACACATATTAATTTCTTTATATTCATAGAACTCTCCTTCTGACTGATAAGAAACACCAATGACTGACATTTATGCAACTGGATCTGGAAATAGGTTTCCTTCCCATGGTGTACCTCAAACCTTTCTTATCTTTTACTGGAAATATTTGATTACTGAAAAATTCTAAATATTTTAGGCCAAACTGTAGAATAAGCAAAGAGTAGTTTCCAGCACTGGAAGTGCTGGTCTTGCTGTTTTTAGAGTACTTGAATACCTTTGAACTATCATGAAATGGATACTATTTCCAGTGAAAAACCATTATGACTTACCTTCTTTCTTCAACACTGAAGCATTTTGCTGATCATTTTCAAAACTCTGTGTTGCTCTAATTTTCACTTTGACGGTCTCTGCTTCTGACATCTACATAGTAGGAAGCAAGATAATATCAGCAGATCTGTGGTTTTAGAGCAAAGTTTGAACATTATGGGGCACAATCCGGGAAAGCCGAAGCATTTCCATGTACCAATGATTTAAGTGAGTGGATTAAGAATACGATTTTGTTCTCCCAGGCATTGAAAACATTTCAATACTTTTGAGATACTCTTTTAGTCCTTGGGAATGGCTTTTAAACCTGATAGTTTGTGTTAGCTTTGTATTCTGTTTTGGAGTGTGCTTCTGGGGTGAGGAGGGGAAATGTGTGTCTGTGCTGGTTTTACATTTTGATTGTGATTTCTATTGCTTTACTATGCTGCTTTTAACTGTTGCACCATGCCTGAAGAACTTTTTAATGAGGTGCTTAATAAATGCTAGTAAACAAACAAGCAAACAAAGAAAACATTTCCTGTTGCAATGAATGGAATGTGCAATCTAATTCTAATTGTGCTTATTCGCAAGGAAACCCAAATCAATTCAGTCAGCTTTCCTCCCCAGAGTGTTGGACAGCACCCTTAATAACACAATCCTATGCATACCTACTCAAAAATAAGTTCCAGTCTACTCAGTGGTGCTTATGCCCCAGTGAGGCAGTCAAGTATTTCAGTCTAAGCTGCTTCATGCTGGATGTATCATGTCCTTTACCACTATCTATGCAATGTTTGGATCACATTAAATAATGAGCATTCATCCTACTTTTCACAAGATTAGGTATGCAACATTTCTTACATTAAACTAATACATTTTCCAACAGTACTTTATTAATATTACATGTGCTTTTTGATGGCTTTCAATTTTATGTTTGGATGTGTTCATAATTCGTATGAGAAAATTATAGTACACAGATTGCTGTGCTTGGCGGTGATGTGCCTCCATGCCTATTGAATATTATTCTAAATAGCAATAAAGCACTCTATTAAAGCAGTCATAAATAAATATCAACAAAGAGAAGTTCAGCAAAAGTGTAACCAGAATTATCTTTGCTGCCACCCTCAGCCTCCTGTCTCTCCTAAGGAGAACCATCATTCCCCAAAGCATGCAAAATTACAGTACCTGGGAGTATTATGTGTACATTAGCCTGCTGAGTATTGCAGGGACTGTTGTAGTTTACTTCCACAGATTGCTAAGAAAACAAAGCAAAGCTGAGCTGCCCAGTCTCCTCCTAATTGATTTTCATCTTCTCAGGGTCCAGTCCGCTCAAGCATTGCCATAGGACTGCCAGTATAGTCCACGCTAAAGAGGTGAAAATAATGAGCTCCAGGAGCTATTGTTTTGTCCTTCCTGACGACTCCCAGGTTGTGTGATGTCCAGCATTCCCTGATACTGACAAAACTGAAAGGATGAGCGAGGCACTCTTTTCTCCCCCTTCAGCTGTGTAGTGCCAGATTTGACTTGCAGGCAGAATCAGCCAAGATAGTGCTAACAAGATTTTTAAAAAATCTTCCTATTCCAATGATTACAAAGTTGGGTATTTGACACAACTTGGTGATGCAGAGAACAGTCCTGCCCAAAGATTTCTCCCTGTAATAATTCTGCCTAAGAGGGTGGGGGGGGGGGAGGAATAAAATATGATTAGCTGTGCCAAATCTGGACATTTTTGCCTGAAGTAATTTAGAACAAAAATGAATGGAAGCACTGCACTTCTTCAAAGATCTGCCTGCAAAACAAAAGGCCCTCATTTGTATTGAAATGACAGCTGTGATAGCAAGCCTGTATCTTGCCCTGGTAAGATTGATAATTCGCAGCTGAGCTCCTTCTATAAGGACAAATGCAAGAAGCCTTTTCCTGGTCCAGTCCATTGGTCCTCCTAGATTGGTGCAGTATAATCTGCTGAGCAAACTAGCCACCTGCCCTGCAGGAACCTGCTGGAAGAGATCTTTTCAACCTTTGCTGGAAGGAGCTTGCCTTACCAGAGGTTGGGTTTTCTGTATCTAGGGAGATAGAGACCCTGAGCTTGAGACCCTGCCTGTACTTCTAATCTTGAGCCATCTGCTTCTCAGTCTACTTCCTTACCTAGTGAATTTGGCTTGAGTTACAAGTTGGCCACATGTTCAAGCTCTCAGATAAGCCTTTCTATATTTCCGTAACACTAAGCATGTCTGCCACACCTCCATTTGTAACTGATAAATTGCACAGTCCAGATCTCGCTGCACGTTTGCATGAGTTCTCAGCATGCCTACCTTACCCCAATGAGCCAGGCACTGTGAGGTTCAACAAAGTAGTGTACTTTCTCATTGCCTGAAAGCCAGGATAATTTCTTGGAACCATGCCAATGCCTTATGGACTTCTGCTTGTTAGGAAGAACACCAGAGATAATTGCCTAGAAGCTACCTTCTCCAATCATTCTGTTGATAAGACCTGCTTTTGCTGTAAGAATGAGACTGTTTGCCTTACTGAAGCTCCTTCTGGATACTGACAGATTCTGTAAAACCGGGAAAGGGGAACTTTATTAAATCCATAGCATGAAGCATTGTCTTTTGTTCTTGGCCTGGGGAAAGGAAATGATGTGTTATTCAGCCAGGCAACTTTGGAAAACATCAAGCATCAAGGAACCATTATGGCCATAGAGAAGAGGAATGTAATTCACTTGTTTATATCTTACATCCATATGTCATCTTGAAATTCAATCAACGATACACCATCTTTGACAAAGGTGGCTTCATTTCTTCCTAAGTATTCTCAAATCTCAATTGAGGTGCCTTGACTGGACCAGCTCTCAAGGATTAAAGCAAGCCTCTCCAAAACAGGGCTTTCCGTAGAAGCAGAATAGACAAAATTGAAGGCAAGATTCCCTGCAAAAGACAATTATGCTAGGGAAAGTTGAAGCAGAAAACCGATGTGAAGACCAGATATGATATGGACTTAATTGATAAAGAAAGCTACAGCTTTGAACTCGGAAGAGCTGATCTTGGACAAGACATTTTGGAGAGCTCTCATAGGGTTCATAGGGTTGTCATAAGCTGGGCCAACTTGAGGGTATATAACAACAACAGGCCCAAGATGGCCTCAATTCCTCTCTCTCATCCTCCTGCCCTGTGTTATTCAATAAAAGCCCACTATGGAAAGATGGGCAGGACCTCCCTGTGCACAGCACAGAGAGAGGAGGAGGAGATGATGCCAGCAGTGCTTCAGCCAGTAAAACAAGAAATGGCACTGGGGCTGGGGAAGAAGAAGGAGCAGCAGCAAAGAAGCAACACTGGGCTCTTGGCTTGGCTGTTGTCTGATCCTGCGACCTGGTTTTGCTCTCTATTCCCTACCTGTACGTGATCAACTTCCAGGAATGCCCTGAACCTAAATGAGCTAAAACTTAATCACATGTACTTCTTGTATGCCTCCTAGCAGCCTATGTGACTGAAGAGAGCAATGGGATGGGGTTAGGGTGGCGCAATGAGCTTGACAGTGAAAGGTTTATACAGAGTACATAAAAGGACTTGACATAAGAATAATTTCAGTCAAATTGTAGAATTTCTTTAAACTGAGTCAGACACAAGCCGAAAGACAAGGCAATCCTTTGCTTCCTAAGGCTTAGCAACTACCCTGAACTGTACCATTTGTTGTTGTGCCATCAGGTCATCTCAGACTTTTAGTGATCCTGGAAATGAAAGCCCTCCAAAAGTCCTATTCTTGACAGCTCTGCTCAGTTCATGTGAACTCAGGGCAGTGGCTTCCTTTATGCATCCTCTCATCGTTGCCCTTACTCTTCTTCTTATGCCCTTGACTTTCCCTAGCACAATTGTCTTCTCCAGTGAGTCCTACCTTCTCATGAACACCACAGGACTCTTCAGTTTTGTCATTTTTGCTTCTAGGGAAATCTCTGGCTTGATTTGATTTAGGACCCACTTGTCTGTCTTTCTGTTGGCCAAGGGTATGTGCAAAGCTCTTCTCCAGAGCCATGTTTCAAACACATCTATTTTATTACTGTCAGCTTTCTTCACTGTCCAGCGTCCAGGCCCATGCATAGTGACGGAGAATACAATAGTTTGGAGATCTTGACCTTGTTTTCCAAACGTCCTTACAGGTAATAATCTTTCATTGCTGCTCTTCCAAATCTCCGTCTTCACATTTCTTGGCTGCAGTTTCACTTCAAATGGACAATTGAGCCAAGCTTGGTATGCCCCTTTTTCACAATTTCATCTTCTTCATAGTGACACTAAAGTGACTAATTCTTCTGTAGTCATAATTTTGTTTTCTTAATGTTCAGCTGCTGTCTTGCTTTTGTGCTTTCTTTTCACTTTAATCAGGACTCATTTCAATGCATTGCTACTTTTTGCAAGTAATACAGCTTTATCTGCATACTTTAAATGATTAATGTGTCTTCCACCAGTTTTCACTTCTTTCTCTGATCCTAATCCAGTTTTCATTATATGTTCTGCCCATAGATTGAACAGATCAGGAGATAAAATATACCTTTGTCTGGTGCATTTGCTTATAGAAAGCCATTGTGTTTTTTCATATTCCGTCCTCACAGTAACTTTCTGTCCGCAATACATGTTTATGAATTAGGACAATCAAATACTGAGGTACACCCATTTCTCTCAGTACCATCCGTACCTTCTTGTGATCTACAAGCAGTCATGTAACTTATCTCCTTCTGAAATTCCAAAGTGTTCGTCTTTGTGATTGTCTGAGTAAATATCTCATTCCAGTTCAGTTTAACTGTCTCACACCAAGTACTGTGTCACGGAACCATCTCATTTTATGAATTACAGTTTCCTGTTTGCCTTGAGTCATACTTTTCACATCCCATGTTCCAATTGCATGTGTTGTGCAGCATTAGATTTTCCTTTGGCCTCTGTGCATGTCAACATCTAGACTTCCTTTAGGCCTTGATCTTCCTTTAGGTTGCATCGTTAATGACAACCATATTCATACCTTTCTTTTGCTCTTTCCCTGTAGCTAACTGAGCTCCTTCTGACCTGGAAGTCTCAGCTTCTGGCACTATCTCCAGTTTTGGTCTAGGTTGTTTCATCATAGGGTTTACAAGGTAA